AGAATCGGGTGTGATTCTAGATCAGCGAGGGGTACTGAGCTGTCATCCTCAGACGTCCGATCGCGTCAGCGGACGAGAAAATCCACCAAGCGTCGTTTCTACTGCGTTGTGACTCGATGGCCGAGAACCTTCAATGGCTCGATCGTCGGTTCCTGCAAGGGCGTCAGCTGCGGTATGATACGTTGACGTGCCGAATCTGACGAACTGGGAACGTAGGGTCGGAGGAGGCTGACGTGGAAAGCCGGGTGGTGACGCCAATCCGCCAGGAGTCGGAGGTGAGAGGTGACAGGTGCCACCATATTGGTCACTTGAAAGGGACCCCAGAATCTTGGTCGGATTTTGCTCGGGATCGGTAGCTGCAAATTGCGAGTGTCGAGTGGTACAATATCTCCCACTTTGTAAGTGACGTTACGTCGATGACGATCGGCTTGTCGGCTTGCGACCAGATTGGCTTTCCGTATTGCCTCAGCTGCTTTTTCTCGCGCCGCAAGGATGTCTTCGTCAAATCGCTGGGACCGGGGCACGGGTGTCTCGATATTTGGTGTAGAGGGTACCACGGGGTCCTTTCCGAAATTTAGGAAAAATGGGGACTGATGGGTTGTGGCGGAAGGCGGTTTATTATACACGAACTCCAGCAGCAGTAGAGATTTCACCCATGTTTGTGAGTCAGTACAGGTAGTCCGAATGAGTTGCTCCATAGTTTGGTTCACTCGTTTAGCCTGCCCGTCGGTCTGTGGGTGGTAGGTAGAGGAAAACTGTAGTTTGGTGCCGAATTGGTCCCATAGGTGGCACCAGAAATTCGATGTAAATTTCGGGCCTCGGTCGGAAATAATGGCGGTGGGCAGTCTGTGCAGTCTGATGACGTTGGTGATGAATATTTGGGCAGTTTGCTCAGCTGTAATTTTTTGTTGGCAGGCGATGAAGTGCGCCATTTTTGTGAGTCGGTCGATGACCACGAGGATGGCGTCGTTTCCGCCGGGACCGACCTGCAGTCCTGTCACGTAGTCCATCGTGACGTGTTGCCAGGGTCTCTCGGGCGGATCCAACGACTGTAGTAGTCTGGCTGCTCGCTGATGGGATGATTTCATGATTTGGCAGGCGGTGTAGGAGGACATGTACTTGCGCACGTCGTCGGCCATGTTCGGCCATTAATAATTACGCTGCAATCTTCATGGTCTTGTCGACTCCGAAATGCCCAGAGGTAGGATTGTCGTGGGATTCCTGGATATGAAGGGTACGATGTAAATCGTAGCCGGGAGTCCAGATGCGGGAAGTGTAGCGCTTATTAAAGTAGTGTCCGGTAGTGGTGGTATTCTGTTGGTGGATAGCGGAGAGCGCAAGAAGGGGTCGATTTTGTAGCCGTGGGTAAATAGTCCGATAAGGAGTGGGCTGGTTTGGGCGACTAGTATGGCGGCTGTATGGGCAGTGGGTCTGGTCAGGGCATCAACAATATTGTTGGCGCCCCGTGTGTAGGTGATGGTGTAGTGGAAGTTTGACTCGAGGAAATCGAGCCATCGGATCTGTCGCGGGTTGAAGTTCGGTTGGGCTCGCAAGATTTGTGGTCGGCAGGCACAGTGACGTCAGTGCCTGTCAGGTAGCACTGCCAGGTCTTGAACGCATGAACAATCGCCAACATTTCCTTGTCGTGTACCATATAATTTTTCTCTGCACTCTGCAGCTTCCGTGATTCGTAGGCCACCGGCTGTAATCCGTCGTCGAAATCCTGTAGAAGAACTGCACCGATGGCGATGTCGCTGGCGTCGGTGATGACTTCGTATGGATGGTCAGGATCGGAGATGCGAAGGACATGCGGCGACGTGAGGGCGATCTTCAGTTGGTCAAATGCAACTTGCTACTTCTCTCCCCACAAAAAACAATCGTGATCCTTGAGTCGGTCAATTAGCGGGGCAGATAACCCAGCTATATTGGGGATAAACCAGCGGACGTAATTGACGAATCCCAAAAAACTCTGCAGCTCCTTGATGTTGCTTGGCGGCTTCCATTCCTGTATGGTCTTGATTTTCTTGGGGTCGATTTTCACTCCTTCGGTAGAGACGATGTGGCCCAGAAATTCCAACTCCTGCTTAAGAAAGTTGCACTTAGACCCTTTGGTGATGAGGCGATTCTTGTACAGCAGCGTGAAGACTGCATCAAGATCTTATGAGTGCTGCTCCCTGCTGCGGCTGTAGATGAGTATATCGTCAAGGTAGATGATGACGCATTTGTCCAAGAGTTCCCTGAAAATTCTATTCATGGTCATTTGGAAGGTCTAGGGCGCGTTCGTGAGGCCAAAAGGCATCACCAGGTACCCGTAGCTGCCGTAGCGGGTGCAAAACGCCGTCTTGTGACAATCTTTGGCTGCGACTCGAATCTGATGGTAACCTCCTCGTAAGTCGATTTTCGAGAAAAGCTTGGCACCGCGAAGTTGGTCGAGAAGTTCATCGGTTCGCGGGATAGGGTAACGCGACTTGATGGTGATCCGGTTGAGCGCGCGGTAGTCGATACACATTCTGAATCCTCCATCCTTCTTCGGCGTGAACAATATCGAGGCGGCATATGGGGACGTGCTGGGCCGAATAAATCCTTTCGTCATAAGGTAATCCAGCTGCTGCAGTAATTCTTCCAGTTCCGGTTGGCTGAGCCGAAATTGGCGCTGTACCGTCGGTTGGGAGCCTGGTTCCAGCTTGATTCGGTGGTCCTCAGGTCGTCTCGGCGGGAGTCCAGATGGCAGGTCGTCCGGGAAAATCTCTGGGTATTTCCGAATCAGGTCCGATAAGTCGGGAGGGACGGCCTTGCACAACTTCTCGATATCTTCGGTCTCGACCGTCGATGTCACCTCGTGAAGATCAACGGCGTATGCTGCAGCTCCAGCTTTCATCGCGCGTTTGAAAGTGATTGCGTGGACTTGGGTGCTTCGCATGCGAGGCCCCATCCACTTGGGCAGCTTGCGGGGGATCCCATCGAGCTTGATGCTGCAGCCGCCCGTCGTCCAGTCAATCTTCGAGTTGTGCCGTCGCAACCAATCGCGTCCCAGCAGCACGTCGCACCCGTCGAGAGTAGTCGCCAGTAGTCCCATCCGAAAATTTGCATGCTCTCCACAAGTAAAACCAACGTTCTCCACTCGTTCCCGTATTGCTAACGGTGTTTCGTCCACCAGGCGGGCGTCAATTTCAGGTAGACAATTGAGTAAGGGTATACCCAATTTCTTAGCCCTGTCCAGTTGTATGAGACTGTGACTCGCGCCTCCATCAACGAAAATCTTCAATCACAAGCCGTTGACTTTACCCTCCACCAATACAGGGTGATCAGCAGTTTTGTCCCCCTTATTTGTCTGGGTCCGGTCGATTGCAGCAATCGGGATCACGACCCAGTAGGGACTGTGTGGCTCGGGCGAAGAAGCCTGCTCGTCAATAAGGGGCCCAATACATACTGACGCGACCCATTTCCCGGTCGCTCCTCCGGCTTCTTCCCCATAGAATTATGGAGGGCTATGAATTCTTGGCAGTTGCGTCGGGTGTGACCTGGCCGGCCACAGTGGTAGCATAGCCCCGTATTTCGCGGAGCAACTGCGTAAATATCCACTGCGTCCACCCCTTTTATCGTGGTCTGTTGGTACTGTTCTCAAGGGCGACCTCCGTCGTAGAAGTTCGTCCTCGACTTCGTGAGCGAATCGGCGGCTTCGGCGAGTTGGATGTAGTCTTGTAACCGCTTCGCAGGGCATTGCAGTTTTATCTGGTACTATATTTCGGGCTTCAAGCCGCCCATGTACCTGTCGACCTTCTCGAACTCGTCCATGTAGCCACATCTGTCCACCAACGTCAGGAACGACGCGGTGTAATCGGACACAGATCCCAGCTGCTTCCACATGCGTAGAGTTTCGCGTGCCTTGTCTGAGTCCGGAGCATGCTCAAACCGCTTGCGAAGCTTTGCGCACCACGTTGCCCACATGCGAATGTGGGTCGCACCGAACAACAAGTCTGCCTTGTCTTCGTCGCCGAATTCTTCGGACCACTCATCCTGTCCTTATGTGCGATTTTTCGTTGAGTCGACAATGACCTTCCACCACTGTAGGGCGGCCCCTTTCAACAGTGTTAACGCGTGGCGGATCCGCTTCTGATCGTCTCGGATGCCCGCCGCGTTAAAATAGATATTCATGGCGAATATCCACAGTCGCACCGTCACGCCTTTATTAGCTGGGTCGAAAGGAGCGGGTTGCCGCCACTTGTGGAGCGCGGGACTGTTGCCGCTAGTCGTGCCAGCTCCACCGGCGACGGTTGCTGCTCACCCGCCTCGCTTCGTGCATTGTCACCCGGCTCCTCTTGACGCTTTTCCTGCGCCTGGCGAAGTCGTTGGTTTTCGTCGCGGAGGTCGTTGACGACGCTTGTCAAATTCTTCAACTGCTCCATTAATGTTTGCAGGTCCACAGTTTCCCGACCAGGGTTCGCAGCAGTCGAGGTGGACTGTCCCTCAACCGTCGAGTCTACCAGGGCCATGGCGGTCAGGACGGGGCAGAAGCTAGCGCACACGCTATAGTTGTTGACGTAAAAATATTTACGATCCAAGACAACTGCTGTGCAGCCATGCTTATCCCCTCTGACCACCTTAAACTAAGTAAACAGGAAAATGGGAAGGTTTCTGGAAAGTGGCTCTGATACCGGCTGTTATGATATAGGAAGTGTCAATGAAATATAACGTGAGAATACAAGGTCGCTATTGAAATGAAGGCACGAGGTTATTTAGGGGTTGGCGTGCTAGGGCGATAACCTCCGAGCGTGGGTAGGTTCGGCAATGTGGTGACAGTGCCGGACGCAATTCGGTAGAGGCTTGGGCCGACAAATGAGGCCGAACGTGACGAGTCCAGGTTTTCGGGTGTACGCGCTAGCGTACGACTCATAAGGAATGGAAATTCCTTACACGTGCAGTACAGTAATTACTGTTTCACCTGCGTGCCTGACACGCTAACATCTAGGTCAGAAAGACCACGGTGCATTGCGAGCTGGCAGACTGAACTGGCTTAGGCTCAGTCGCGCGCTCTAAGATCAATCGTCAGCTGGTGGTTTTTGGGCGAGCTATTGATTAGTGGGTATTTGGGTGGGCTTTAAAGTCTCGTCGTCAGCGGGTGACCATGGAAGGCGACTGGAGCGGCGCCGGCGCCGGCGGTGCCGGCGGCGGCATGCGCCAGCAAGCAGCACCAGCGGAGCCCGACTGGCGCACGAGGCTTCCGCGGGAGAAGCGGCAGATCCTGGTGAAGCGCATGTGCGTTGTGCCGTGCCGTTGACCTAGGTTATTCCGGACTTGAGACATTAACCTAGAAACTGGAAACTGGACACGCTGGAAACTGGAAACCTGCGAAGCACTTCTGGAAAAAAATCCGCGAGGGAACCCAAGGAAACCTCTAGTCCCTCAATTTTTTGTCACTATGCGGAATGGGGAGCCTTCAGAAGGCTTAGATTCGACCTAATCCTAGATGCAACCTAATCCTAGATGCGACCTAATCCTAGATGCGACCTAATCATAGATGCGACCTAATCCTAGATGCGACCTAATCATAGATACGACCTGATCATAGATGCGACCTAATCCTAGATGCAACCTAATCATAGATACGACCTAATCCTAGATGCGACCTAATCATAGATACGACCTAATCCTAGATGCGACCTAATCATAGATGCGACCTGATCATAGATGCGACCTAATCCTAGATGCGACCTAATCATAGATGCGATCTAATCCTAGATGCGACCTAATCTGCAGCAGCAGCAGCAGCAGCAGCAGCAGCAGCAGCAGTTTAACGAGGCGACTTGAGCAAGCCTGGGTTTTTATTCCTTCCGTGCGTCTTCGTGGCTCATTGCGCTGTATTTCCTTTCACTGTGCAAAATGGAAGGAGGCCTCAGAGTCGACTAGAAAGAACCTCCGTATTCCGTGTAACTGTGCAGCAGAATGGAGAGGCTTTAGGGGGTGCTCGTCAGCTCGATTCGACACACATCCCTTTTCTATTTATCCCGGGTTAATTCGTTTCACCGTGCAGCAGAATGCAGAGCCTGTGGAAGCTGCACGTTTGTATCGAATTAATACCTAACCCTATTTCTCGTTTCACCGTGCATTTCCTATGCATCACCGCACCGTGCATCACCGCACTGTGCATCACTGCACCGTGCATCACCCCATCTTGCAGCATGGAGAGTCTGCAGAAGTTCACCTCAGCACCCGACATGAACGAGCATAGGTTGAGGCGCCTAAGACTCACCCTAATCCTTGTATGCTCGCTCTACTGTGTGCCGGCGTGTGCCGGCTGGCTGTGTGTCGGTTCTCCGTGCAGCATGGAGAGCCTGCAGAAGTTCACCTCAGCGCCGGACATGAACGAGCTCCACCGCGTTGCAGCCTCGTTCGAACAAAAGATCTTTTCAACCGCCACCAACCAGGTGCAACCCAACCCAACCCGACCCAACCCAACCCTGGCATATTCGACAAACGGGGTGCAAGGGCCCCGTTTCAAGCTCAGGGATATGTTGCAAATGTCGCTCTGGGAGGCGTTTAAAAACGCAAAACCACAAAACGCGCGCGAGTCTTTTCGGGCAGCCCGCTTGAAAAAAAATACGCGACAGTTCGCGACCTGACGAATCCTAACAGGAACTTCGCCACATCGTGAACTTGACTTGGGGGTTCAAATGCCAGCCAACCAAATCATCGTTTTGGTTGACGAGTATGTGTAGGAATAGTAGTGTTGGACTTCAGGATATGGGTCTGGGAAGAGGGATAGGGTGGTGATGTGTGGGTGGTTGGTTACTTATGAGGTTGCATGATATGATTGATCCTCATCATGGGCCGAACTATGTGTATCCTTGCTTAAACAAACTATTGTTGGAGATGGGAATTTGGTGCTCTGCACCTCCCCTTATACCCCTCCTAAACCTACTTCTTTGCCCTGCCCGGAAGTTTTTTCTGCCCTGCCCGGCCAAGCGTTTTTCCAGCATTTACCCCCAGGCCCCTTAGCGTTTTGTGTTTTCAACGCTGGCGTAAGCGCTAATCATTGCCCCACTTTTTATCCCCCCCGATGTCTCGGGACCACCAGGACGACTACCTGTGGCGCATCTCGCAGAAGATGCTGTACATCAAGAGCAAGGGCCACATGCTGCAGGCGCAGGCGGGGACGAGCTCGCAGGCGTCTGCTGGGTCCGTGGGCACTGCAGGGATGGCTGCTGACGCTTGTAAGCCTCTGGCGTGCTGCTTGTGAGCAGTGCGCGTGGTGCTTGTATGTGACGAGCTTAAGTTTGAATTTCATGCATGGGTGCTTGGAATGGGTGAATGGGGTGCTTGCATGGGTGAAGGTGCTTGCAATGGGTGAATGGGGTGCTTGCAATGGGCGAATGGGGTGCTTGCAATGGGTGAATGGGGTGCTTGCAATGGGTGAATGTAGTGCTTGCAATGTGGTGCATGTGATTCTTGTTCGTGGCACGTTCTAGCTACGATGTCTGTTGTGACCATGGGGTTGCTTGGTTGTGTGATCCCTTTCGTCCCTTGCCTCGTTAAGGACTTTCCTTTCTCCCCTCCCCTCTATCTCCAGGCGCCGTACCAGGTCGTCATCTTGCTCTCTCTTACTCTCTCTGTTTCTCTCCCGCTATTCCCAGCCGGCATGAGCTATCCGCAGTAGCAGCAGCCAGGTCAGCCAGGCCAGCGGTCAGCCAGGTTAACCAGGTCAGCCGCAGCAGGCAATGCGGGGAGGAGTCCCCATGATGGGCCAGCAGCAGCCAGGCTCCATGCCTCCAGGCGCCGTACCAGGTCGTCATCTTGCTCTCTCTTACTCTCCCTTTCTCTCCCCCTTCCCCCCGTCCCCTCCCCCACCCCCATTCCCAGCCGGCATGAGCTACCCGCAGCAGCAGCAGCAGCCAGGCCAGCCAGGGCAGCCAGGTCAGCCGGGTCAGCCGCAGCCGGCGATGCGGGCAGGAGTCCCCATGATGGGCCAGCAGCCAGGCGCCATGCCTCCAGGCGGGGCGATGGGAGGCCCGGGGGGGATGGGCGGGCCACTGCAGCCAGGGCAGATGCAGCAGGGGCAGATGCAGCAGGGGCAGATGCAGCAGGGGCAGGGGGGGATGGGCGGGCAAATGCAGCCCGGGCAAGGCATGGGGGGGCCTGGAATGGGCGGGCCTGGCATGGGCGGGCCTGGTATGGGTGGGCCGAGGCAGCTGCCCCAGAGTAACCTGTCCATGGGGGCGAGTCAGGGAGTGCAAGGGGCTGGGCCCATGCAGGTGGGTGCGGGGCAGCAGCAGCAGCAGCCGGGTCAGATGCAACAGCAGCAGCAGCAGCGGATGCTAATGATGCAGCAGCAGCAGCAGCTGCGGCAGCAGCAACAACAGCAACAGCTGCAGCAGCAGCAGCAGCAGCAGCCCATGGCGCTACAGCAGCAGGGCCAGCAGCCTCAGCAGCAGCCGCAACTGCAGCAGCAGCAGATGGGAGGCCAGATGCAGCCTCAGCAGCCCCAGCAGGTGCAGCAGCAGCAGGGGCCTGGTGGCGTGATGCAACAGCCTGGTGGGCTCATGAACCGAGGTCAGCCCATGCCTGTGCAACAGCAGCAGCAGCAGCAATATGGGGGGCCGCAAGCACAGAGGATGCAGCAAAGCCCTAGCCCGGGACCGGTGGCATTGCAGCAGCAGCAGCAGCAGCAGGGCATGTCAATGCAGCAGCAGCAGCAGCAGCAGCAGCAGCAGCAGGCTGTGCAGCAGGCCATGGGAGGGCAGATGGGTCAGCAGCAGCAGCCAAACCAGCAGCAGCAGCAGTTGCAACAGCAGGTGCAGCAGCCAATGCAGCAGCCCCCCCAGGCTGTGCAGCAGCAGCAGCAGCAGGGTGTGCAAGGTCAGGCAGGGGCGATCCAGCAGCAGCAGCAGCAGCAGCAGCAGCAGCAGTCGGGTCTGCAGTCGACGGTGACGCAGCAGGGAGGGATCTCGGACACTGTCTGGCAAAAGGTGTGCGGCTCCCTCCCCTATCCTGCCCCCACGTCTTTCTCCTTCTCTCCCTCTGTGTGTGTTTTGTGACCTGTGCTGTGTTTGACCTATCGCTGCGTGTGCATTTCGTGTGCTGCGTGCGTGTGTTCTCATGCGTTTTCATGTCTCATGTGTCATGTGTGCTGTTTGCATGCGTTTTGATGTGTGCTTCTGTGTTCCGCTGTGTGCTGTATCGTGCGTCACTCCCCACCTGCCGAACCCCACCCCACCCCATCCCCCCAGCTGCAAGGCATCAAGGCGAGCTACCTCAAGGACATGAAGGAAATCCACAGCTTCCTCGTCATGAAGAGCCAGCAGGTGAGAGGAGAGGAGGTGGCAGGTGAGAGGAGGTGGCAGGTGAGAGAGAGGAGGTGGCAGGTGAGAGGAGGTGGCAGGTGAGGTGAGGTGGCAGGTGAGGTGAGGTGGCAGGTGAGAGGAGGTGGCAGGTGAGAGGAGGTGGCAGGTGAGAGGAGGTGGCAGGTGAGAGGAGGTGGCAGGTGAGAGGAGGTGGCAGGTGAGGTGAGGTGGCAAGTGAGGTGAGGTGGCAGGTGAGAGGAGGTGGCAGGTGAGAGGAGGTGGCAGGTGAGAGGAGGTGGCAGGTGAGGTGAGGTGGCAGGTGAGGTGAGGTGGCAGGTGAGAGGAGGTGGCAGGTGAGAGGAGGTGGCAGGTGAGAGGAGGTGGCAGGTGAGGTGAGGTGGCAGGTGAGGTGAGGTGGCAGGTGAGGTGAGGTGGCAGGCGAGCGGAGAAGAGAGACATCATTTTATGAGATGTGTTCATGTGACTGTGACGTGTCTACTCTAGATTCCCCCCATGTCTTGAGATAGCTTTTCAGCACTATCTGTTTGTAAACATATTTCCCACAGATTACCCTACACTACCTGTTTGTTTGTATCCTTTGTACATCTCTTGACGGCAGCTGCAGAAGATGGTGCCGGAACAGCAGGAGCGACTGAAACACTACAAGGACATCTTATATCGAATCATTCCATATTTGAGTGTGCCTCGAGATAAGGTGCCCCCGCAATTCACTATAGAGAAGGTGGAGCAGCTTGAGAGGCAGATAATTCAGATTCTTGAAACATTCAAGAAGCGGCGCCCCCCTCAGCAGCAGCAGCAGCAACAGCAACCGCAACAGCAGCAGCAGCAGCAGCAGCAGCAGCAGCAGCAGCAGCAGCAGCAGCAGCAACAGCAGCAGCAACCGCAACAGCAGCAGCAGCAACCGTTACAGCAACAGCAGCAGCAGCAGCAGCAGCAGCAGCAACAGTTACAGCAGCAGCAGCAACAACAGTTACAGCAGCAGCAGCAACAGCAACAGCAACAGCAACATCAGCAGCAGCAGCAGCAGCAGCAGCCGCGGCCTCAGCAACCCCTTCAAGGAATGGCAGGACAGCCACTGGCGAAGCAGCAGCAGCAGCAGCAGCAGCAAGGGGTGCCTATGGGTGTGGGTGGGCCTGTTCGCCTGGTGCCTGGCCAGATGGGGCAGCAACAACTGCCGCAGCAGCAGGTGCATCCCCAGATGCAGCAGCAGCAGCAGGCTGCCTTACCTGGGGGTATGCAGCAAGCCTTGCCAGGCCAGCGGCCCATGCAACCACAGCAGCCGCAGCAGGGGCAGCAGGGGCAGGGGCAGCAGCAGGTGCGGCTACAGAGCCCGGCCCCTATTCAGACTCAGCAGCAGCCCTTGCAGGCGAGGCAGCAGCAGCAGCAGCCGCCGCTACAGCAGCAGCAGAAGATCGAAGAAAGCGCTGCCACCGGTAATGCAGCAGCAGCAGCAGCAGCGCAGAGGGATGGGATGAAGCTTGCAGCTGCAGGGCTAGGAGGAGGCACAGCAGGAACAGTACCATTAGCCGGCCGACCAGTGCAGCAAATCAAATCTGAGCCAGATGCGAAGATCTTGCCAGGCCAAGCCCTTCCTCAGCAGCAGCAGCAGCAGCAGCAGCAGCAGCAGCAGCAGCAGGGAGGGGTGGGCGTAGGCCCACAGAATCAGCAGGCGCAGTACAAACCAGGATCACCACCACCCCTAGCAGGATTGGCAGCAGGAGGCGCAGGGGCAGCAGCAGCAGGACCAGGAGCAGCAGCAGCAGCAGGAGTAGGGGCAGTAGATGAGCCGTCCTCGCTCTCCGCCAGTGCAGCACCATACCAGGCGGCCTCTGCCTATATCGCCCCGTCTCCCGGCCCATTCGAGCAAGACACAAGCAAGATGTCTGCACCAGGGCAGGCGGGGGAGGGCGAGACTGGGGAGGGTGCAGCTGAGGGGGCGGTGGAGGTGAAAGGAGAGGCGGGGGAGGGGGGAAAAGGGAAGGTGGAGGAGAGGGAGAAGGAAGAGCCGATGGCGAGATTGTGCCGAGTGGTGAGCGCGTCGTGCTGTGGAAGGGTTTATTCAGCTTTCCTGATGTTGTGGCTGCGTGCTGTGTCCCACTTGTGGAGGTTGTAGCATTGCCATGATGTCAGTGGTCAGCATTGCCATGATGTCAGTGGTTGTAGCACCATGATGTCAGTGGTTGTAGCACCATGATGTCAGTGGTTGTAGCACCATGATGTCAGTGGTTGTAGCACCATGATGTCAGTGGTTGTAGCACCATGATGTCAGTGGTTGTAGCACCATGATGTCAGTGGTTGTAGCACCATGATGTCAGTGGTTGTAGCACCATGATGTCAGTGGTTGTAGCACCATGATGTCAGTGGTTGTAGCACCATGATGTCAGTAGTTGTAGCACCATGATGTCAGTGGCTGCACGCATTTGCTGCTCCCTCCCCCTCCCCCTCCCCCTCCCCGCCCCCTTGTAGATGGACGCTTCATTGGCCCACGATGGGAGGGATCTCCTCCTGGCAGCCGCGCACATGCAGGCCGTGCTTGCACGTTCTTGGGTTGTACCATGACATCTTTCCTTTCCGCCCCAACCCCCCCCTTCCCAGCCGTGCACATGAAAGCTGTTCTCTTGTGTCCTCCTTACAACCGCCCTCCCCCCTCTGTGCCCCACAGATGGATGCTTCTTTGGCCCACGATCGCAGGGACCTCCTCCTAGCAGCCGCGCACATGCAGGCCGTGCTCGCATGCTCCGACCGCCTTGCCACGTCAGCACCCCTCGCGGGCTCCAGAGGCGCACTTGGAGAGGACCTATCAGCGACCGCCAGCTCACGCCTGCTGGCTGACTGGATGGCACTCAACTCCCTCAACTTCCCTGGCCTCCCGTCCTCTGGGTCCCACATGCAAGGGTCCGGGCCTCTGCCTCTGCCTCTCACACCTTTCTCAGGGGCACCTGGAGGTGGTATCTTGCCCGGTTCTGCTGGTGTAGGTGCTTCTGCTGGTGGTGGCGTGGGCATCGGTGCTGATGCTAGTGCTGCTGTTGCTGCTGCTGGTGGCACTGCTGCTGCAGCTGTTGCTGCTGGTGCGGGTGCTACTGGTGCCGCTGGTGCTGCTGGTGCTGGTTCGAGTGGCGCGTTGAGCAGGAGGGTGGTGTCTGTGACTGCAAGTGTGGTGGACCACCTGGGCACAGTCACCAGCAGCTCGGTGCATGCTGTGGCACACCCAGGCTCAAGTGCAGCGTGGGGGGAAGATGGGGAGGATGGCGCAATGGGAGATGGGGAGGTGGAGGAGGAGAGAGAGTGGGGCTGGGATGAGGATGAGGAGGAGGAGTGGGAGGAAGATGGAGAGGGGGGGCGTGGAGGGGTGGCGGATGGGCAGTGGCTGGTGTCACGGGCTCAGGCTGCTTCGGCGCTCTTCCCGCCAAGGAAGCGGCAGAAGAGTGAGGTGAGACGCGGGGGTGCTGTTATGTTCCACGGAGTCGTCGCTTTTTGTCCTCTCGTCCTCGTGTCTGTCATGGCTGTTAAGCAGCCTATCCCATCCCGGGGTGCATCCAGCAACACACTTGTGCATACGGTGTATCTCAACTCAGAGGCATCTCAGACCTGAACTTTAAGATGCCTCTCAGGGCAGCCTTCTCAAAAATACCCTACAACGAGAAGCCTATCCCCACCATCTCCTGGGAGGCAGAACAACCAATTGCAGCGATTATAGACACGGGTGTGGAGGTCAGCAAGAGCCGTCATCATCTTGTTTCTCTCTCCTCTTCCCCCCCTCCTCTCTTCCTCCCCCTCCCCCTCCCCCCCCCCCCCCCCGACCCCCTCCTCCCTGTTGCGGACAGCTCGTGCCCGGTGTGGCATGGGAGGCAGAGCAGCTGAACGAGGGGATGATCGACACCTGTGTGGAGGTCAGCAGGAGGGAATCCAGGCGAGCGCATGCCATGGGCAAGGAAGGCGTGGCTGTGCTGCTGCACTTTGACATCCCCTCGGTATGTGCGTCTGACCTGCCGTGGCTGTGCTGCAGTGATTCGTTCCCTGCTGCTACTCTCCTCTCTATCCGCCCTCAACCTCTCAACCTGCAATTACTACTTGCAGGTGACACCTGCCAGTGCTGCTTGCAGGTGACACCTGCCAGTGCTGCTTGCAGGTGACACCTGCAAGTCGCCTCTGCAGCGCGAGACCTCTCAACGTTCCTGAGAATTCTAAAAAACACTCTTCAGCGCGAGACCTCTCAACCCTCCTGCAATATCGCACCACCGACCTTTTGAGGCACCTCAAAGCGCTACATACCCGGGTTTCCCTCATTATAGCACAGGCCGGTATTCTCCCCCGTCTCCTCGTCCCTACCTCCCATCCGCACTGCTTACCCAATCTCCTTCAACACCCTTTCCCCTCTCCCCCCGTCAGCTCCAACTTGCGCTTTCCCCTCCCCTGTCTCCCCTCTCCCCTCTCCCCCTTCAGCTCCAAGTTACGCTCTTCTCCCCCCCCCATCAGCCCCAATCTGTGCTTTCCCCTCTCCCCCCATCCATCCCTTTGTCTCCCACAGGTCGGCATTCCCTTCCCTCCTCTCCGTCTCCTCGTCCCTTCCTCCTACCCGCACTGCTCGCCCCAGCCATGGCCCTTCCAAGCACACCCATATGCCAGGTATTGTTCCAACCGTGCCAGGTGCTCTGTGTTTGCCAGGTGCTGTGCGTGTGCCAGGTGCTGTGTGCGTCGAAGCTCCTCGGCTGCTGTTATGTCCGTTCTGTGCCAGTGAGAATACATGGGAGTGTTTCAGGCCTGTTTTTTAGGCGCCTTAAGTATACATTTTAAGAGAAGTGCTCCAGGTTTCTATGACTTGAGGGCGCCTAAAACATATATGTTCCTGAAGCGCCTCTAGTATATGTGATAAGAGGAATGCTCCAGGTTTCTCTGACATCATGAGACTGCTTTTGAGTGGACTCCAAAGCAGTTTCCAGGCCATCATGAGACCAACGGTTCCACTGTGCTGTGATGACAGCGACTGACTGACTGACCCACCACACAGATTGGCTGGAAGGCCGTGATTGCTAATGTCGGTCTGTGCTATGCATGTACCCATCACCCATGCGCTCTGGTGCACGCCCTTCCGCTCCTCCCCCGTTTCCGTACAATGGTGCAGAACGCCTTGGATTGACTCATACATCGACTTTTAGCACAACCGCTAACTTATGGCCCCTCCTCCCCCCCTCCCCACGCTTCCCCAGAAAACATATAACAGGTCTCCAGCAGTGTGGAATGCCATGGATTGCTCTATACACTGACGTACCACACCTGCCAACTTAATTTCACCCTTCTCTCCCAGACAACCCGGCCCCCCCTCCCCCCCCTTTTCTCAACCTCCATACCACAGATCAGCAGTGGTGCAGGAAGCCATGCATTGCCGTGCGAGCAGCCAACGGCCCGCTGATGGCCATGGCAACGGCGTAGGGTGAACTCATACCGTCACTCTCACTCCCTTATTCCCATCGTCGCCACAGATCTGCAGTGGTCCAAGATGCCATGGACCGCTTTACCAGAGCCATGCGAGCAGTCAAGGGCCCATTGATGGGGCGAGAGCGGCCGAGGACCGAGCACATATCCTCACTCTTACTTCTCTATCTGCCATCCCTGCCGCAGATCCGCAGTGGTCCAAGATGCCATGGACCGCTTTACCAGAGCCATGAGAGCAGCCAAGGGTCCCCTCACTCTGACATCCATGGCCAAGGCATGGGATGAGCACGCCCGGGCGGCAGTCATGCAGGTTCTGGCGGCCTCTGCTCCTCCCAATGCCTGCTGGCATGCTGTGGTTGGTCCCTGGCATGAGTGTGCTGCTGATGTGTCACATGGTTAGATCTACACCACACGGTGCCTGTTGTGTGCTGGCTGGCATTATGGGATGGATGCTATTGTTGTGATTTGTTACGATTAGATTGTTTCTTTTTGAAGTGGCGCGCATCATGCCTCAATGAAATATCATCAGAAGAAGCCTTCGTCCGTTCTTTTAAAAAAGGTGCAATCTGCTAATGGTTTGCACCAGGGCCTAAGATTCATTTTCGGGTACGCTGATTCGTCAGCCTCACTCCCCAAATTTAGGCTGATGCATCAGCCTTGCCCCTAGAAATAAGGCTGAACTTTCAGTGTTGGCAAAAAAAAAATCGCTGATCAATCAGCGTTACCTAGAAGAAGTCTGATGCACAAATTCAGCAGCGCTTTGTAGATTAGCGCTGGCTTTCAGTAACGAGGTTATGTCCTGGCTGCGCACTTGACATTTCGATGATTGGCTGGCGCGGTGACAATTTTCCGGTCTAAGTACGAAACATTTTCGATGTAAGCATCGATACTAGGAATTTGATATCAGAAAATTGAATGATAGTGATAGAGGGAGAGTACACACAATATAGCTAAGTGTTGTACCCTCTAAGAGGCTACCCTATACAGTCTATACAAACATAACAAATAGACATGTTTGACACACCCCCTAGACTGCATAGGGGAAAGTCCTAAACAAACAGCTCAGGGCGGCACTACTAGTCCAACCTCTGAGACAAGGGTCTGAGCGACCAGTCAGAAGGAGTACAGACAAGGCAAGCAAAGAGCAGGGCGGCACTACTAGTCCAGCCACTGGGAGAGGACACAAGTCCAGTCTGAGTATACATATAAATGACAGTACAAAGTCAAGGTCCTAGCAAGTGAGAGGCTACAGGAACTAGACCAAGCTGGACATAGTGCCGCTGATGATCTTTAGGCGCAAGCGCCTTCGTAAAGATATCAGCCGTGTTGGCACCTGAGGCCAAGTGTACTACGCGAGCCTGACGTCGCTGCTGTAGCTCACGCAGGAGGAAGTACCGCAGCTGAATATGCTTCGCTCTGCCCTCGAGTCGAGGCTCCTGACACAGGAGGATCATGGCCCTGTTGTCAGCGAACAGGACCGGGGCAGAGCTAGGTCGCTCACCTAAGTCAGTGAGCAAGAAGGTCAGCCAGCGGAGCTCCTGTGCCGCCATGGCACCGGCGTAGATCTCAGCCTTACAGCTGGACTGTGCAACAGACGAGGAGCGAGTAGCTCTCCACGAGACGGCACCTGAGCCAAGGCTGAAGCAGTAGCCCTGGGTAGACCGGAGTGTCTCAGCGTCGTCTGCCCACGAAGCGTCTGTGAGCCCAGTAAGGACCGCTGGCCTGCGTCCTCCTAGCACTAACCCCATGCCCGATGTACTAGCAAGATAACGCAGAACCCTCTTAGCGGCAGACCAGTGCTGCGGTCGGTGTCTGCCTGTGGCCACAAAGCGAGCCAGGATGCTGAGAGGGTATGCGAGATCTGGGCGAGTGCAAGTCATCAGGTACATGAGGCAACCCACCAGCTCTGCGTAGGGGCCGCTGGGCTCTACCAACTCCTCAGGCACTGGAGCGGAGAGCCTGTGGTCTACAGGCAGAGGGGTGGGCTGTGCAGAGGAGAACTGAAGGCTGAACCTCTGAAGGACCTGGCGCACCAAGTGTGACTGAGTCAGGGTGATGGTGCGCGCAGCTCTGTCCCTGGAGATCTGCAAGCCAAGGTAACAGCGCAGTTCTCCAAGGTCAGTGCAGGTGTGTCTCTTCAGCAGCTCTGCCTTCACGGAGGCCAGCGCGTCCCTGTCTGCTGTGGCAAAGACCAGGTCGTCGACGTAGACGAGGATGTAGAACGGAGTCTGGCCAGCACGAACGAAGAGTGAAGGGTCTGCAGAAGACGGAAAGAACTGCAAGTCAGCAAGCGTAGCACGCAGAGTGTCGTGCCACTCACAGGGAGCCTGGCGCAGGCCGTAGACGGGGCGCCGCAGGAGCCACTGGGTCCCAGGAGGGAAGGTGCCAGTAAAGCCCGGAGGGCGGCGCAGGTAGACCTGCTCGTGTAGGCTGCCCTGAAGGAAGGCAGTGGAGAAGTCGAGAGAGTGAAGCTCGTAGTCACGCTGAGCAGCTAGGTGTAACAGAACCCGAAGAGTAGTCATCTTCGGGGTCGGAGCGAAAGTCTGGAAGAAGTCCACCCCCTCGCGCTGACTGAAGCCTCTAGCCACATAGCGCGCCTTGAAGACAGGCGGCTCTCCAGGAGGGCGCTTCACCTTGAAGAGCCAGCGGCCATCGACTACGTTCACCCCAGGTGGGGGAACTGCGTCGACGAAGGTGCCGGTGGATCTCCAAGATGCCATCTCCTGCTCCATGGCAGCTATCCACTGCGAGGCCCAGGGTCCCGAAGTCGCCTCAACGTAAGTGCGAGGGGTCGGGATGTCGAAAGCGTCTGGGTCACCCTCAGGGACTAGCAGCATGGAACAGAGATGGGGAGCAGCCTCAGACAGGAAAGCAAGCTCGAACTGGCGGTCCTCCAGGACGTCACTGCCAAGGGCAGGAGCACCCCCGACAGACGGAGGACAGGCAGGGTCAGAGACCAGAGCGGTGGCGTAGTCAAGGCGGCGGGTAGAGGCGAAGTCAGCGACAGCAGCGACAAGAGCGTCAAGGCACGAGACTGGAACAGACAGGTCAGTAACGCGAGAGGCAAGGACCCGAGGAACGAGGGGACGAGCGGCACGAAGGTAGTCGGACAGCGGGGGTGGGCGCAACAACAAGGGAGGACGGAGGAGGCGACGACAGAAGGGGAGGACGAGACACGTGTGAACGAAGCAACATAGGGTGGGAGCGCAGGACAGGCGAGGCAGGACGAGCACGGGAGGGACGGTGAGACCAGACGTGCGATGGAGGAGTCGGGTCAGGAGACAGGGGAGGGGACACAGGAGGTGAACGAGGGGGGAGACGGGCCGGGGACGAGTCCGGCGGAGGGAAAACAGGGCCGTAGACAGGAAGAGGAGGAGACGCCCGGGGAGGAACCGACGCAGGGTCGGGGGACGGAAGGCCGAGCAGGCGAAGGGCGGACACCGGCGGGGACTGCTGCTGCGGCGGCACAACGGCGACACCTGGACCGCAAGCTGCTCCTCGGCTACCACCGGCACTCTCCACACCCGCACCCCCAGAGGGACCACCCTCAGGGCGACCGGGACGAGCACCCCCAGAGTCAGCGAACAGGGGCTGCGACTGCGGCGGCGGCGGCGACGGCGACGGCTGCAGTGGCGGCAGGGACGGCGGAGGAGGGGACTGGGGAGGGGACACCTGGGGAGGGGCGGCCGGCGAGGACTGCACCGGAGGGCCACCAGAGTCAGAAGACTCCTCAACCGGGTCCACGGACGGAAGGGGGGTGACATGGGAGACACCAGAGGGGGCGGGACGGGGAGGAGGAGGAGGAGGGCAGGGACTACCGGGGAAGGGGTGACCAGGAACAGGGGGGGGTAATCGGGGGACCACGGTGGGGGAAGCGGCGGTAGTAGGAGACGGACTCGTCAAAGGTGACGTCACGAGAGTGAAAGAAGCGGTGAGACGGCGGGTGGTAAAAGTGCCAGTCGGACGCGTCAAGGGGAAAACCGAGGAAGACGCAGGGAAGGGTGCGGGCAGTGAGCTTGTCCGTGCCGGAGGCACGGACGTGAGCAAGGCAGCCCCAGACGTGGAACGCAGACGCGTCACCAGGAGACCCAGTCCACAGACGGGTCGGCGAAACCTGCGGCTGCTGAGGGTGCGGCCACAGGTTAAGCTGGTGAGAAGCGTAGCGCACAGCGAACGGCCACAGAAAATGGGGTGCACCGGCATGGACCATGGAGGTGCGAGCGACCTCCATGACCAAACCGATGCGTCGCTCAGCGACCCCATTCTGCTGTGGGGAGTCCGGTAGGGTGAACGTCTGGGTGATGCCCTCCGCACGACAAAAGCGACCAAGGACACCTGAGGCAAACTCGCCACCACGGTCTGAGTGAAGACGCAAGACAGGGAGACCGCGGTGGACACACGCAGAGACAAGCCAGGGGATGAGGGCGCCAGGCACGTCGGCCTTGCGCTCCAGGGGAAAGACTGTGGTGTAACGAGTGAAGTCGTCGACAAGCACAAGGAAGTAGCGCTCGCGACGCGGCCCAGGGACGGGGGCGGGGCCCCAGACGTCCAGGTGCAGGGTCTGCAGCGGCGCGACGGTAGGGGGGAACGAGGAGGAGTGAGGGGCACGGCGAAGCCGACCCTCGACACAAGGCGTGCAAGGTGGAGCTGGGGAGGAGGGAAACGCGGGGAGTGAGCCTGGGAGACCAAGGACAAGACCGTGCTGGGACATGTGACGCAGACGGGGGAGCGCAGGGTGACCTAGGCGGTGGTGCCACAGGAGGGTCGGGTGAGTGAGGGAGCGACAGGAGCAGGCAGCAGCAACCTGGGTAGACACAGCCACCTGAGGGGGCGCTCCAGCCGGGGGGGGCACGGTGTCCAGAGTGAACAGGCCGGACACCGGGTCCCGGGGGAACGTGGACAGGGGGGCACCAGTGGCGGCCTCGGTACAGACAGCATACCGCTCGTGACCAGGGAACGTAGTGGTGACGCCAAGGTCCTGGAGGCAGTCGACACCAACTAGGTTCCTGGAGAACGAGGGGATATGCAGACCTGTAAGAGAGCCCGAAGGAACCGCCGGACAGGGAAGGGTGGTGGAACTGCGGGCGACTACCGGACCGCCGGAGGGGTCAGCAAGAGAAACGGCAGCAGGAACAGGAAGCGGCGTCAGGGTGGTGGAGTCGCGGAAGAAACACCGAGAGGCGCCAGAGTCCAAGGTGAAGGAAAGCGAAGCCGAGGGGTCTGGTGACGGAACGACGGCAGAAGCACCAAGACTACACAAAGCAGGGGATCCTACGCCTGACGCAGCAGGGGAGGCTAAGCTAGGCACACCTACACTAGGCAACAGTGAGTAATAAGTCGGAAGCACACTAGAGTCATGAGCATACATCACATGCAGAGCAGAAACAATGGCATCCATGTCCATATCAAAGATCTGAATCTGACGACTAAGCAAACTGTGCTAGTCCGGGAGGTCTGGCGACGAGCCGAAACGCTGACGAAAGAGGTCGTCCAGGCGACGAAAGCAGCAGGGAGTGGAGTGACCGATCTTACC